CAGATTACCATATCATTGTTTCTTCGCTTGATCTTTGGTAAAAGGTTGATAATTCTTTTGTCAAAAGGATTAAATCTCAGGTGAACGATGTCGATGATGATGTTATAATACATAACATGCTCGGTGTTCTAAATAGTAATTTAATGGTGCTTAACGACTTATTAACATTTTTGGACTGCTATTATATAGAGATGACTACGTCGCTCTTCGTCAAAATTCTTCGATAAATAGGTAAAAGAATTGTTGTAAACTTTTGAAAAAGAAACAGAAATGTGTAAAAAGGTTTGCTCTTTTAGAATACTTTATTCAAAAAGCTTTCCACTCACATTAAGAACTGATAAATCTGATATAAGACCCTGTTTTTGAGAAAAACTTCTTATTATTGATCCTCTATTTCAAGGAAAGATCTAACCAATAAAAAAATATATTCTAGATACAACTTTTTACACTCTATCAAATGAGCATCAATGAGCAAAACAATATAGATTTCCATGGACATAAAGTCAAAATCTTCAAAGAATTTCGAGAGAATCTCTAGAAAACCTTCCCATATAACTGAAGTTTATGATGGCCTAGATGAACTCCAGACCAAGAACAGAAAGATATGAATGATATGACAGAAAGAAAGAACAGGCATATTTACACATTCTGAGATACACTTTTTGAACGATCATTGAAAGTCATATTGCAACCAATTCTCTACTAACAGTAAATAAAAGCAGGATTAAATCAGTCCGTTTTTGTACAATACCTATTTTTTCTTTTCTATTACGTTATTGTATCTAGATGGCTCTATTTCTCTTCTGCTTATTATATCAGTGTGAGGAGTACTCGTGGTAAAGTCGAAGCCAACAGAAGACAACTTATTATGTTTCATCAGTGTGACTAACGAAGAAACAAATCTTCAATTGTTTGGAAATGGTCGGAAAAGTAATTATCATATTACATATCAGATAAAACCCTCTAGGATCTTCTCTTTTGTAGAGCTTTCTAAACACTGAAATCAGTTGCGATATTTTTAATATTTCAGATTATCATTCAAAAGTCCTACTGTGGCGTATGTTTATTCAGGATAGCAGTACGATCACGTCTCTTATGTGTGACCTATTTCATAAAATGGCTTAATGATTTTTAATGATTGTGAACAGCCTGAATTTCCCGTTGAACATAAAGAACATGCTGATGTTGCCTCTGTGAAACTATGGCAGCAGTTTGAGGCTAGAAAGTTAGTCAATGTCTACAGAAGAATGCCGAAAAAATTCTTTTTCGTTCCGTTGATAACTATCTCAATGCCATGATATTACATTATTACTAGAAGCCGTTCAATAAAATTGCTCATTACATCTCTGCAATTGTTTTGGCCAGTAACGTTTTCGGCACGACAGCTAATAACGAGAATACGAAAGACAACGTTGTTTCTCGTGGTCTCTTTTCTATTATGTACACGAAAAGGAAAAGAATTGCACAACAGTGTTGCAATACACATTTTTCTTTCAGAGGTTTGATCAACTGGTCTACACAGACGAGATCACTCACTAAAAGCTTTGACTTACATCGACAGCAGACGATAAGTATCTGAATTAGTTTAATTTTATCTTTTCTTAACTATATTCTTCTATTTTGGATTTTTCATGTATCAGGAAAAATATTCAATATTCAAAGGGAATCGAAGAAAGAACTATATTTGGATTTTTTCTTTCTGTTCTTTCTACACATTATTCATTTTCGAGACGATTCTATATGATAAAAATAAAAATTAATAGTACATTTTCGCTTTTTTGTCTGGTATACACAAAATGAGTATAAAACGTCATATAAATTCATTTTCATCGAACAACATTCTAACTTTAAAAAAACATTTACTTTGTCTTCTTTTCTTTCTTCGTACAGAACAAACAATAGATCGTAGATATAATGCGTTGACTCATTATATCAAGAAAAACATTTTTATTTTAAAAATTTTTTTATTAAGAGTAAGTTTTGTTTTATTTTCTATTAAATTCCACGAAGATGAGCGCTACCCAAACTTATTTTTGTTCGGTTTGCTAAAGTGCCAATGACGCAACTAAGAAGTAAAATTTACTTCCTGTTTTGAGATGGCTGAATAGAGCTCGTCGAATTACATAGAAAATGGCACTTTTACTTGTTTTCAAATAATTTTGATCCGAAAATCTTTTAAATTTTTAGCAAAATTCAATGAAACTTTTTAAAAAAGCAGAATCCAGGTATTTATCATTCTTTTATCATTCAAAACTATTCTTTTCTGACTCGCCACATTAAGGGTGGCGCTATTGCCACCTTCGGAGGCGTCGACAAGGCGCTATTGTCACATTCTATCGGTGTCAACTAGAGCTTCATCTAGAACTAATTACATAATATATAAGTACTCGGAAAGCTAAAGCAAATTCACACTATATAATATTTTCTGTGAAACAACTTTTCGAACTCAATCTCACGCTACTCTCACCTTTCCTCTTCCAATACCCACCAGAAACTACCAGAAATACCCAAATTTATATGGGTAAGGGGATGGACACAATAGAGGACCCGGGTCTTATATCGCGTCCTAGCGCTCATAACTTTGAAGCGGGTCTTCTAAAGCGTCCCTAAAAAAAGCTGATTTTAAGCTGAAATCGCTTGATCGAGAGTTCGCACTGTGTACAAAGCTGTGTACGCACACACTTCTTGGAAGAAGTTGGAAAAGATCCGACCGGATCCGACATCTTCCGGCCGATGAATCGGATTTCGGTGGATTTGGCAGAATGTGACCAATTTTAAGGTTAAAAATAGTCTTCAATTTTTTCTTTCATTTTCTAGTGGTTCTTCTCTCTGTTCATTCGAGAGAGTGAAGGGGCCCGCTAGCTGGGACGTGTATAACACGTCCGTTGAACAGTGTGAGCGATGATTCACATTGTTAAGAATTTGAAAAGAACAACTTCTCACTTTTCATTTTTTGCAGTGTCGTATTTAAAGTGCTCCTGTCGTGAAACAAAATGGTGAATATATTATCCGCACTGGAAAGAAAAAAAGAATAAAGTGCACATCACAGGATCCGACAATTTCCGGTCACTGGAAATTAACGGATCCGCCTGGTTCCAGATATCTCAGGATCCTTTAGAAAAAAAATATCGAAACGCGAAGGAATTGAGCAGATTCCGATCTCCGGATCTGGTCGGGCGTCCGATCACCGGAATCAAAAGGATCCGGCAGGATCCGATCGGGTGAATTCGACCTGGAAACAGCTGAGGGAAAAGACGAACGCAAAGGTTAGTGTTTGATTGAACCTCAAAATCAACATATTTTAGGTCAAAAAATCGATAAAAGAAGGGGGTCTTCTAACGTGGTTTTTGCGTTATGAGTTCAAGAAGGGTCTTGTAACAGGGAGTCTTCTATCGTAGGGGGGCCCACTATTGTGTCCATCCCTATAGCCCACCCGAAACCGCCTCTCATAGACCGTCAAATTCGGAACTAATTCAGCATAACACTTTGACTAACGTATTTATGCAGTGTGTAAGTGCATTTTGGGCTGTCAGTCGTCCTGCTGCCATTTCAACGGGGTGTCAATAGCCATTCCGAATTTATATTATAAAAAATTCGCATAAGAGTCGTGTCACGCTAACCGACACCATCTAACATAGTACTATCCGTGGAGGTAGCAATAGTTCTATTTAATACCCTCAGAGGGCGGCAGTAGGTTTAGTTGACACCTTCTGAAGGTGGCAATAGCTCCTTGGTGACACCTTCGGAGGTGCCAATAGCCATTCCGCCACATTAAATTGTATATACAAAACAAAATTTGATAGAATTTCAGTCTGAAATGATCGAAGTCGGTCAAATACGAGCAACATCGATAGAATTGGGCTACATGATCAGTTTCATAACCTACCTGGTATTTTTAGTTGAGTGATAAAAGAGTTTTTTTTCTTACATTATTACCGTCGTAACTATGGAAAAAAGTATGCAGTCTAATTTATATTGTGGCTTCGCTGAGAATCGTCATTTTCTTTATTTTTCGATATTGTCCACGAATGCGGGAATAGTCATCTCTGAATAAAAACATGACAAGTGAGTGGAAATTACTTAAAATATATCCATATATGTAAAAACACTATAGACTTCGATGGTCACACCGTTAAAGTCAAAGTCTCCAAAGAAGTTTTAGAGAATCTCTGAAAAACCTTCGCATAAAACTGAAGTTTGCCATGACGGACTCCGAGAAATTTTCTTGCTATATAGTTGTCGGTGAATAGACTCGCTATATTGAATCGAAAACAATAGTTTTGAATGATAAAAAGAATGATAAATACGTGGATTCTGCTTGTTTAAAAAGTTTCATTGAATTTTGCCAAAAATTTAAAAGATTTTTGTATCAAAATTATTTTAAAAGTGCCATTTTCTATGTAATTCGACGAGCTCTATTCAATCATGGGAATAACGGGCAGTAAATTGTTGGGCACCTTATCTATACGTATGAAATTCAGAAATGAGAATAGCCTTGAATTTTTAAATTCAGTGAAAAGTCATATCAGATTTTACATAAGAAAACTTTTGCTACAGCAGTTCAACTAATCAAGCTCTTTCGAATGGTCTAATCTAAAAACGTTTGGCTGAGATTTATGGAGGATATGATCGTCTTAATTTTTTTGATATTTCGAGGATCAGAGTTAAATCTTAAAGAAAAGAACGAGATGACAACAGAACGTTTCTTCTAAAAATGCAGTGCGTAAAATTCTTTAACAAATCATGTAACATATTTATCCGTGATCTTTTAAGTGTCTTTGTTGTCTAAGAAAAATTGGTGGGGAAACCTTTTTGAACGGAAGAAATCACCAACTATTAATCCGATATCAACTGAGCGTGTTAAATCTGGTTCTATCGATTATGTCGTATGTTCAATATGTCACAATATTCTCTATAAACCTGTTGCATGCAACTCATGTGAAAAGACATTTTGTGAACTGTGTATTGAACGATGGTTAGACACAAACCGATCGCGCAAAATGTGTCCATTTCAATGTCAGCCATTTAAACAGAGACGTTGCCCACCTGTTATAGCTGATATGTTGTCAAAATTAAAAATTGAATGTTTTTATAAACAAAATGGATGTCCTGAAGAACTGAATTATGAAGCATTGGAACAGCATGAATTAGACTGTCAGTATCAACTGAAGCAATGTCGAGGTTGTAATCAAGTGTTACTTAGAAAAGAGATCGAAGAACATGAAAATATTTGTGATTTTATACAAATACAATGTCAGCTTTGTGGAGTGACACATCAGAGGCAAACGCCACATCAGCAGATCGATTGCTTATTAAATCGTCAAATACATTTAGAAGATAGAGTGAAACAATTAGAAAAGGAAAATAAATCATTGAAAGATGAAAATGCTTTTATTATGAAAATATTTCAGACAAAATTTGGAATACAAAACCCATAATTTAGATCGAGATTTTAAAACTAAACGGTTTAACTAGTTATGTGAACCGTTTTCAAAGGAGAAAAACATGATCTTTTTTGTTATACAAAGTCGCACAGATAGACTTAGCTAAATCGAGTGAATAGAAATACTAGTTTCAGTATCAAAAGAAAAGAAAAAAGAATGAATTTCGTGAGAAAGTGGAGCAAGTCAGAGAGTAAAATTTTATAATCTGGCTAACTTTCACAGATGTTCTAAACATTCTTCTTAATAAATATAACTTGAAAGTTATATTTATTTATAACTTAGGCTTAAAAGTTAGGCTTATAAAAATAAGCCTGACACTGAGATAATGGACTTCTCCGCTTCAGTGCCGGATGTTACATGTTCTTCTTTGTTACCTTGATAAATAAATAAAGTTAAATCAAATCAACCTGAAAGTTGTTTCATCCTGTACTTTTTAGTAGTCCATAAATCAATTTGTAGCAACAAACAAATTGTATAAATTAATAAACAAAATTGTAGCTAATAAGTATTAAATGCCAGACAAAAATTGTTTACCCATTTTCGGTGAAACATATGAATTTTGTCGTGTATCTAAGCAAAATAGCGCAGTTTTCAAAAAATAATGCTATGGAATTTCATTAGAAACTAGCTGCTATTTCTCTAACGTCATGAAACTTAGATCAACAAAAGACTGTCATTTTTATCAATAAATCATTAAGCTCCTCGCTATTAAAAAATCTATCTCAGTAACATTAAGTAAGTTCGAAACCTTAATTAAGTTCGATCTCTACCAAAACGTCAAATGTTGACCAAGTCAAAATATGGTGGGGTTACTTCTATAATTTTTTTACTACTACAGTAGTATAATTTCGAAATAGAATACTTCGAATTGTAGGAATCAAGAGTTTTTGACTAGTATCCGTACCAAAATACAGTGCAGGATGCCACTTTTTGAATAACTTTTGATAGGAATGAGATAGAGACCTGCGATTTTCGCTGTTCAATAGCCAAGACTTGAGCAGAACTTTTCACAAGCGGAAGCAACTTTT